ATTATCGTGTGAGAAAAATCTAAAGACAAATTGGTAGGTTGTTGATAGTTCTCTCTAAAATGTTGAATTCAATTCGGTTTAGTTTCCTTCAGTCTTCATTTCATATTAACGACTATTTACCGGTACAAGGCAGACTTGGAAAATCAACTCAAAATCGACAATACTCACTACTAAAAACGGCCCTATTGATAAGGGTAACTACTTCGTTATTATAATATACACTTCTTTAGACTTTGTACTTGTAACGAGAATGCGTCCATCTGGCATTTCCGCGACGCCATTCAGGTTTTCTAACCCAGGAGTAGTGCACTTGCCGATAAAACGACCTTCAAGGGAAAACTTTTGAAATCTGCCACTTTCCTGGTCACATACAAGAAGACAGTCGTGTCTGTCTATATGCAGACCAGAAGGTCTAACAAACTGTCCGTTTTCCGTTCCTTTACTTCAAAATTTATATAAAAATTGTCCTGTCTGGTTGAACACTTTGATGCAGTAATGGTCAGAGTCAGACACGAAGAATCGGTTTTTATGACTAACACAGCTCAAAGGATCAAAAAGAGTTTTTCCTGTCCAATGTCTCCAAATGTAAAGATATTCTCACCATTTTTAGCCAGAACTTGTATTCTATTATTATTGTAATCAGAAACGACAGTTTGCTCTTTGTCATCCATGGAAAGTCTAAGTGGATTTTTTAACTTTCCTTTTCCTGTACCAGGTTTTCCAAATTATTTTATGAACAGTCCACTTCGAGTATTATACTGATATATTCTGTGATCGCCATGATCCGAGACCAGAATTTCTTCATCATAAAAACAACATCGACAGGTTGTTTAAATTGGCCAATTTTTGCAGAAAGGTTCCTTCATTGTCAAATACATTAACGCTGTGGCCATAAAAATCTGACACTGCCATAGTTCCTTCCGCATTGAGTGCGATACCGAAGGGTCCTTTTAGTTCCGCATCAGAGAAAATTTGAGATGAGAGTGCGACAACTTGTATTATCATATGATGATTTTAGATATGTGAAATTCATATATTTGCACTGCGGTGAAGAAACGAATGTAAGAGATACTCGCAGCTAAGAACACTACTGAAACGAGTAGTTGAAAATAGGACCTGAAAAAAATTCAGGCCCGTATGGGATTTGAATTTGCTTGAAAACTTACGTATCTTTGCCAAAGGGTGCTGTTTAACATTTCAAGAGTTAGCTTGTGAACACAGACATATTTCCAGGCAGCAATAAGTAGTGCGTCTGCACTCGCTGGTTACACATGAGTTAGTTGCCTCGTAGACTGTTGACTTAGTTACCTGTTTGATAACGTGACTTGAGTACATCAAATGGGATAATGGAAGCCCAGCAGATCATACCTGTCAAACCTAATCCAGTCAATGAGCACGTCATTAAAACCCATCCATCATTGAACAAATATCATGCAGGAGAAAACTGCTGTGTAGTATAAAAGTTTTCAAAACTGTTGAGCCAGCAACATACTTGGCGATTGAACACTAAGATTGCGAAAGTATTTTATTGCCAGTGAAAATCGTAAATGAATTTTGCCACTTAAAAATTCCTATGGGCTTATTTTAAGATTTTGTCCTGACGTGGGTCTTTTCCTCCAGGCTACGTCAAGGACATTTTCCGCGTTCCAAATTGAATTAAAAATGGTCTGACTACAGCTAAATGCTGATGTTAATTAACCTCGAGCGCACGCTACAATTGCAGATTCGTAGAATATCGCAATAAAAAAGGTATCTAGTATCTAAACTTGATACATGTAGTTTCACAGTTTGTTAGTTTCGCTCGTTGGAGGCAGTAGTTCGTTCTTGCAAAAGACAGTTCAACGTCGCATCCAGTGCAGCCTTAAGTAAACCCAGCAATGAATGTAAAAGTCATTAGTGAATTTCACTCTTCTTTTTTCTAGTTTTATTTTCAAGTCTTATTTCTTGTAACTTTCTGTTTTAGCATTAACCCGAAGTTAAAATCAATTAACCCGCCGTTAAACGGAGTCGCCAGTAAGGCAGGATATTAAATAAAGCGAATTCAAATTTATTAGCTAAAGGTTTCCTTGATAAAATCTTTTGCTTCGCCACCTTCGAAATGCGATCATCCCTTTATCTCATCCTCTGCGCATAACACCGCCCGAGAGCATTTCGTCCAATTTTTTTAAGCGCACACATAATATAGCCCTAAAATAAATGCGATAAATAGTGAGCAGTCACTAAGGAATTGCTTTTTTTTACTCAACACACTGTACAAAGAAGAATTGGAATCCAAATTATCTTCGGCAGGGTAAGAAGGAAGGAGAGGTAGAAGGGAAGGCCTAGCTCAAAACTGGCACACAATCATTTCCATAATTTCTGGCTCTGTATACAGGAATAGGATAGAACTAAGAATAGAACCATTATTTGCATCACCCAACTGGTTCAACCACCGATGACAAACGCGTCACTTTTTTTTTTCGTTCCACGACTAACGTTTGCAGAAAGTATTGTACGTGGAGTCATGAACAGGAATTTGATGTCCTCTGAAACTCCGTCAACAACTTCCGGCACGTGTATAATTCGTTATGTGTCCTTTACATATGTTAATGACTTGGTTGCGTTGACCACACAAAAATATATTTTTTTTCTCTAAATCACTTCTCAATAAGCGGAAAGGGCCACATTTGCAGCAGTAACCCTTTACACCCAACATCAGTATTGGCATTCTCCATACTGTTTTCTATACATTTAACGAGAGAGGGAGAATAAACTCCTTTATTGTGTGAGACATCTGATATATAGAAACCAGCTTTTATTTCCTATCAGTCGGTAACAGAATCCTTCCAGTCTATATATCTCACCGCGTAAATAAAAACCAAAGCTGCAGACCGGAGTGTACATAGATAAATCCAGTTACTCAAACTGGAAAATACTTTCCTTTGCCTCGGCGTCATAACGAGGTTTGGAGAGATCTTCTCAACAAAAGGAAGTCAGTTTCTTGATTGATAGATCACTTGTGTGACATTAGAGAGATGATAAGATATGATAACTTTATTAGGGTAACTCCAGGAATGGCTGTTTAACACACTGACGTAACCAAAAACTCTCCTTAATGGTCTTCGCAGAGTTTATATCACTAGTTAGAATAATTTAATCGCAAATCACGATGAGTAGCTTCTTTCGATGAACCGCATGCGCAATTTCAATGTCTGAGAGAAAGTGAGGTGCAATTAGTTAGTCAGTTGAAGTGTTAAAATATCCAGAACATTTTTCTCCTCCTTATTCCTGTAAAATCCAGCTAAAAGTCTTCATGGACAATGGAAAAAATTCGTTGAAAAAATGATATTAGAGAGCAAAAATAATGAAACACGCATTAAACCTTTCCACACGAAATCAATCCCCTCTAATCCTATAGAGCGCTCTTCGACTTAGTGTCGCAAAACCAAAACCAAAGTGATCACAACAACCAATCAACAAAAGGAAAAACCTTTACGAGGCCATAAGACCTAGAAATGAAAACAACCACACTGCCTAAAGCGTGGGAAAACACAGGCAACCAGGTTTTAGTCCTGAGAGAGTTGAACTGAGAAACGATGATCACACAACTTGCAAAGCGGTCAATTCACGGGCTTTTCAGCGGTCTTATTAAGCCACGAGAGTTGCTCAAATCCTCTACGTGCTAAATTAGTCTTGAATAACTCTTTCCGTTCTTTTTCTACAAAGGTTTGAAAATTTTATCGAAATAAAACTGTGTATTACGGGTGCACTACTTTCTTTAGCCTGATTGTTGAGTTTTTTTTTTGGCGAAGCCTGTCAAAGGATGCGAGGAACCTTGAAAAAACAAATCCGAGTTCAGGTGTGAAATGTCTTCGTCGGGAAGTGTAAGTTGCGGCTCAAATTTCTAATCTTCGATAAAAATCGTTCAAACACCTCCACGAAGTTCTCTTGCCGTCAATTTAAAAGAAGGTATGTCGGGGAAAGTAATCGTCAAACCCTTCATCTACATCCAGAAGAACTGAAAACATTACCCACAGTGCGTTTAAAGCAGATCTAGTAAATGCGTCTACATGGAAATTTTGTGGCAACACGATCAGCAAAATCTAAGCTTTTACTAACCGTAAGAGTAAATTGTGATTTAACGATTTACATCGTTGCCGGACAAATGTACTCATCCGTCAGCAAAGCATTTCACTGTCATTATTTCAAAAATAGTTCTCTGTTTCGGCATAAAACGACAAAGAAAATCCTTGAAGTCCTTTATTTACTACTGTAGTTTTGCAAGTGTCAAAAAAGGCCTACCTAACATCTCACTGTAGAAATCAACCCAGAAAAACAACAATAAACTTCATAAGTACTGATCCCGGCCTGTTGTTCGTTACAAAACGGAAAGCGTCTTCGGATCCTTAAAAATAACCAGGCAGGCAGCTATTTCGTCACTAAACCGCTATGGTTTTCCTTAATAACTAGTAATGCTCGTCTGCAATGGAAATATCCGCTGACAATTTCTGGTGAGATTGCTTTGCAAGTTTTGAAAACATCGTTTTGATTTCATTTAAGAGGATTTATGGGAAGTAGCTTCCCCCTTCCCCCTCCATGCTTTCGACACTTTATTAGAAATTGCTCTAGTTCTGACAGACACGAAAAAATTACGCGCTTCTGTTGGCTGAAAACGAGTGCATTTTTCATGTAATACGAGTGCAAATTACAAATATCGCGCGCGCTGTCAAAATCTCGTCTGTCTTGACAATCTGCCATGCTTTTTACATTTAAATTATTACGAAGTAATGACGTAATTCCTCGTGGAATTTAGTGAAAATGAACACTTCTAAATTTTTCAAAGACTACAGGCTCGTGCAGTTTTGTTGTCTTGGAAAAATTTGCTCGTGCTTATTAACCTCAAATTGCACTTAAAATCATGTTACTACTATTACTAATAACCGAGTCCATGTCAAGACATCCTTGTTCCAAAAACATCAGTAGTGAGGGACGTCGTTCAAATATTTGCTGTAGATAGAATTTTACTCACCCGCGTTTGCGGGGAAAGCTGGAAAGACTGGGGTTACTCCTTTGAATAAACTCGCAACTCCTTCTTCCTTTACCTAAAGACAAAAGCGCGTGCGTCATGGGGTGAGCGAAATACAAGTGTACATACTACAGGTGTTCATAAAGACGCGCATTTTTCCAAACACGAGCTGCTAGTACGAGCGTCAGTATTCTCACCAATAGCACATCCAATCACATTCACCTTGAGTCAACTAAGTAATTGTGGGAAAGGCAAAGCAATACTTGCATCTCTCCAAATATATCCATACAGAGAGCCCATTTGTCATCGTGTTAGCTGTGCCTTGCTGATGGTAGCCTGTAAGCTGGCACTTGTTATTAGCACTGCAGGACGTGCGTTGTTACGCGAGAAGATTTCAGACGGGTCAGGAAGAGGTATACTGGGGGTATGGCACAAACCCTTGCCCTGTTTATTATCACTGGTGCACTTCGCTACCCTCTTGATAACAAAAATCGTTACGTCCCTGTGGCAAGCTGACCTCACGAGCCATGTCTCGTTCGAATATTCGAGGAGAACATTTTAACTCAGATGAAAAAGGAAAAATATTAACACCGTACATAAAGGCCACGGACAGCCTATACTCACACTCTCACCGAAACCTTCGGTGCGAAGGAACCACCTGATTTGGACTCTAAAGGGTGACATTTTATGCCTTGTTTAAGATTTAAGACTGCAAAAATCATACCCTTCTTTCATTGACTCAAACTTGTCCAGGCCAAAAAGGGAAGTGCCTCATTCCCAGCCCCAACGGAGCCTACAAAAGATCACAGAGAGGGGTTGAGGAAGCTACACACTACACATCAAACAACCTCATAGGTTTTGCATGGAAAAAGTGGAAACCCTTCTTCTGGAAAAATGAGGTACTTACTAATTGTCTAAAAGCATCTCTAATTCTTCGGGGGTAAGTTCCTTCAGGTGCTGTGAGTGAAAAGTGAGAGAATCAGCTGATGATATCTGTCAGTCAACTTTCCAGAAATATCACATAAAATTGTGAGACGCTTGTGAGAAATCCAGCCATCGACAGTACGACGATGTGTTTTATCGCACAAACCAACACTCCAGCTCAATAGGTTAAGCTTGAGATATAGGGTTTGTTCTTGAAATAGCCGCTTAAAGAGACCGCGCGTCGAAATTGGATTAAAAAAATGTACCGTTTCAATAAGAGCGTGTATGAAATGATAGTTTCTCCCTGCTCGTTTCCCCTTTACGCATAGAAAGGGACAGATTGTTTCATAAAAGTAGAGTGAAGCATAGATAGTCAAAATTCCAAACTTCACCATTACAAGATGACCATAAGTGATCTTCTACCTTCATGCCTCAATACTCTAAAACCTCGAAAGAAAATTTACAGTGATCCTATTTGTATGCCACAAGGGTATACTAGTTTCCCCTTACTCGCTCAGGTATAAGAGGAAAGTTACTTGTAAATAGTTTGGTTTCCACTTTAGATACGTCTCACTGTGCGGGATCACGAGCCCAATTAGGCAGCCTTCGTGGATTTAGATTCTGTTTACTTTAAGCAGAGCAGGAGAAGCGCGCGCGGATTTCGTTCCACTCTGAACTCAAGGCATTCGCAGGAAATATAAGGAGGGAGCTCGCAGCCCCTCCCAAAACTTTAAGAAAAATTGACATGAGCGGAAGGAATAATCTGAATAAGACCATAACCTGTTGCCTGCTGTTGGAATCCAGAAATTAATGGTGAGGAAAATTTAAAGATAGAGAGAAAGCTAGCAATAGAAAATTGTGAAGTTCAGTACTCTTTTTATTGTTACTCTGTGAGTTATTTGCCTTAGTTTTGAACAAATCAGGTGACGAATACTCGGCGTAAAGTTACTTAACGTGTTTTTTATTTCCGTGCGAGCAAAATCTAAACAGCAGAATGGCAGGTCGTTGAGAGGTTCATCCTATAATATTCATAAACTGTTGAATTCAATTCGGTTTAGTTTCCTTCAGTCTTTTTATCATTTTAACGGCTCTTTAACGGTACAAAGCAGACTTGGAAAAACAACTCAAAATCGACAATACTCATTACTACAAACGGCCCCATTGATAAGGGTAACTACTTTGTTATTATGATATACACTTTTTTATAATTTGTGCTTGTAACGAGAATGCGTCCATCTGGCATTTCCGCGACGCCATTCAGGTTTTCTAACCCAGGAGTAGTGCACTTGCCAATAAAACGACCTTCAAGGGTAAACTTTTGAAATCGGCCACTTCCCTGGTCACATACAAGAAGACAACCGTGCCTGTCTATATGCAGACCAGAAGGTCTAACAAACTGTCCGTTTTCCGTACCTTTACTTCCAAATTTATATAACAATTGTCCTGCCTGGTCGAACACTTTGATGCAGGAATGGTCAGACACGAAGAATCGGTTTTTATGACTAACACAGCTCAAAGGATGAAGGAGTTTTTCCGGCCCAATGTCTCCAAACGTAAAGATATTCTCGCCATCTTTAGTCAGAACTTTTATTCTATTA